AAATTAAAACTCTGTGTTGTCATTCAAAAAAGTAAAAAAATGGTAAGGATAAAAAATATTTAAAAATATAATTTTTTATTAAAAAAGTTGTTTTTTAACAATTTGAAATAATTTAAAAAATATTTTGAAAAAAGTCAATACTTTTTGAAATAATGAGTGTTTTATGATAAACCAATCACTTTGTATAGTTTCAGATTTTTTTATCCCCTGTATAAGTTTAAGCCAGAACCAATATACCTATTGATGAGGAACCTAAGAACCTTAATTACACTTTCAATCTTTTGACCTAGTGAAAAATAATTAAATAAATCAAATTGCATAAATCAATAAATTGTTTGAAAACGGTAAAATATTTAGAAAACTATACAATGTGTAAAGATTACTAATATCATAATCTTTTAGCAAAATATTAATTATTTAACTTTATTTGTTTTTATTGAAATACAAGGAAATTAAAAGATCAATTCACATTTGATATGAAATTGTTATTTTACGTGCGAATTTCTAATTTAGTCATAATATTGAAAATTCCAAACTTAATCGATTATAACAACAAATATTGTGACGTGTTTTTGAATTTTTTAATTGGCGTTTAAACAATTTATAAGGAACCTTGCATTAAATTTTCAAGTTTTTTTACCAAGTGAAAATTAATTATTGACATTTATAGAAAAAAAATTGCATATCTCCATAAACAGATAACTCATAAAAAGTAAAAATATTTCAGAAATATTATTGTTATGTGTAGAAGAATCTGGTATAAACATTTGATGAGAATTTTAAATAACAAATGTAAATTGATTTTGAGTACCTACCACAAAAAAATAATAAAAACAACCATTTTAGTTGAATACTATAGTTTTTATATTTTTAGTAATATTCCAGGTGTATATTTTTTCTGTTTTGTTGAATACTAGGTATTTTTATTTTTGACTTGATAGAATTCTCTACCAGAAACCATCATAAAAGTGGAAAATCAAAACATTTTCATTGTCCCAACAAGTGATGACGGACAGAAAAAAAATACTCATCATTATGAAATGTATGCACTTTTCACTCCACTAAGAATTTAGAAGGTTTGCACATTATATTATTATAGAAATAATATTTACTCAATACAAATTAAAAATGTATTAATTTTGAATCAACTCAAGTATTTTAGGATCATGAAAATTATGTAATATTTTTAATATTGATATATTAATATTAAAGGTCGTTCTTACACTGTCCGGTTAAAGTTAACGGACACACAAGTGGCAAAATTCTGCCGGTAAAAATCCCACTAACTGTTGGTTAACCGTTAACCAACACTTAACTGGACATGGTAAGAACGGCCCTTAAAGTGTGGAAAAATAGTTACTTGTAAAATAAAGTGATTAACAGATTATGGTAATACAGTAATCTAAACATAATAATGACCATAATCCATATTTCATAATACTCGTCCAGTAGTACTAAAAGAATAATATTGTATTGTTTTCATATGATTTGATAAAAACCAAGCTGTTATATGCTTAAAATTGCTACCTATATTATCATCAAAACAAATTTTGTTATATTTTCAATATATATATTTATTTATTTTATATATTTATCATCCTAGTTGATATAGTAGTAACTAGTAAAACATAATTTTAAATAATATTTATGTACATATTAAAATATTGCTATATAATAAAATAGATAAAAAGAGTTGGATAAGGAAATTAAGTAATACAATATTGTAAATACAAAATAAAATAAAGATAATAAYATTATTATTATATTTTATTTAAAAACAATCAAAATCTACTTAATAAAAAAATAAGCTTATACAAGGTAATCACAATATTAGGTTAACGTTTCTACACATGGAAATATAAGCTTTTACATATTTATGCTGTCAAAACATTGGTATTCGATGTTATACGAATGTAWACATAAATATTTATCGATATTGGGTTCTCATGATAAATACAGTTGATAAAAATAAACACTATGTAGTAGTAATACGATAATTTAAAAAAAATAGAAGTTTAAGATATTAATGTTTGGAATAAAATAAATCTAAAAACAACAATATTATAGTACTATTCTGAATTTCTTAACTAAGCAGATYTTTCTTCGATTTCACTAGACATTTACCAACCAAAACGCCACACAGAGCTACCATAGCAACACCAATGCCCGTTTTCCAGATGAATAAAATTGATTCTCGTAAACTTGGTATAAGACTAGATTGATTTGGACTGTATTTATGTCTGAAAATAACAAAAATTTATTAACACTTCTATATCGATGGGCCTTCCAAAACTAGTGAAAATTCTATTCCAAAGGTAYGATTATAACTTATAAGAATACTTACGGAAGGGAAGCCATWGTGGCTAAATTTGAGTATAGTTTTTTTCCTTCATTTGAATTAATAAACATATATGGGGCTGATAATCTGTTTTGTTTGCAAAATTGATCTGGTTGTAATATGTAGTCTTGTTTCATTAAGGGCCTACCTTTGTCATTTGCTACGATTAAAACTGGGATGTTTCTGCTCTGATAATATTTCTGCCGATAAAAACTTATGGTTAAATGACGAAACAAATATAWTATTTATACTTACTAAATAAACATGTGCACTATATTCAAATGAACAACTCTGCGAAGAATCATATACTAGACATACCACATCACATATAATGTCTTTTTTAGTCAAATGATTTTCACTAATTGGCTTAATTTCTTTTAAAACCAAATATTTGTCTTGACCGTATACTTGAACGCGATTAACTGATGTTATATCCTCAGAATCTTCAGAGTCATTCTAARACATTTAAAAAAAAAATCATATTATTGTGTCTACAYCAAACAATATTTTTATTTACATCAATTTTTGCAGTTTTCACATGTCGTTTACATAATGTTGACTTGCCACTGCCTTTACTTCCGATCACATGGCAAATATATACAGAACGCTGAGACTGTTTCTTCTGTAAATCAATTTGCTTACTCCTAGTAACTGCAAATATACATATATATATATATGTATAAACAATTAATTAATTTGGCTTTATGTTGTATTTTGTTTGTATTTATCTCACCTTGAATTGCTGAAAGTTGGTTTTCTGGTTTCATGCTATATCCTAACATAGCTAGATACGCTAATGTAGTGTCGGCTTCAACCAGAGTACAGTAAGACCAAAAAGACAGCCATCCTTGAGAAGTAATCCATCCCTAATGGTATTAAATAAAAATTAATTTAGCAAAAAATTAAATAGTTGAATTTAAAAAATGTTTATTACTTTATGATTTGTATTATATATGCATTTCCTTAAAAGTTGTGGGTCTTCTGTACACATGGAAAATAATGATTTCAACTCAACTGGGCTCAAGCAGTCATCTTTATCTTTGTCATGTGTCTCAAATAAGTGGGATAAAAAGTGTTCACCTTTATGAGATAACTCAATGGTACAATGTTTATCTATTTTTAAACTACAAAATAAACATGGTATTAACATAATTATGTGAAWGTGGATGGATATGTATAGCATACTTAGGATGAAGATAGCTGTATGAAAAATTTAAATCGTCATTGTATCCAAATTTTCTAATTACAGTCCAAGTAGTTTGTGCTTTTCCTTTTAGTATAAATAACATGTGCAGGAACAAAAAACCTAGTTTTTCAAAAATTAAATTATTGCATAGAATAAAGTTTAAATAAAATATCAGTATTATTCACTTAAATAATATCATGAAAACCAAACCTGTTCCATATTTHTAAATTTAGCTAATAATCAAATAAAATACTGTACTATAAAAATAAAAAGGTAATTAATTACCTATAATTGTATGTAGTATTTATTAATTATTATAATTATAAAATACCTTCAAGAGTAACACAGTTTGATGGTGATATTCCACGTTCACAATTCATGTTAATTATAGTTTTGATACCATTCAGTTGTTGTAAAGGCAGATGACAATCGAAACAATGGCGTTGAAAATTATTTAGTTCTTCATCGTTAAGCAATCCATCATTATCTACATCGCAGATCTATAACACATAAAATTAAACGAGGAATATTCAACAATTTTTTATGATATTTCTAGTTTACTTTGAATATACGACATAGAGCTCTTTTACACTTTTCAGTAAGCTGAAACAATAATAAATTATATTATAAATTTATAAATATTTATTTAATTAACAAATTAATAGCATACAATTTTATCCTCAACAGAATATAAAGGAGCTGTGGGATGTAGAATGGCTGTCTGTGCGTAACAAAACATTTCACTAATATTCATCAACATTTTTGCTGAACACTAAAATGCATATGAAGAATTCATTTAAATAAATGTAAAACATCTCATGCAACTTAAAATATTTACTTGAACATAGGTTTCTATTTCTGGATATTCATATAAAACATCTTCGATAAGCTTTAAAATACAAAAAAAATAATTATATAATAGGTAGTTAATATAATAACTAATAAAGTAGTATATTTTTTACAAATTATTGTAAACTTACATGCATTGAAATACTATTGACGAGATCGCTTTTATTTCCAACCAATATAACAGGGTGATAAATATCACAGTTCAATTGGCAGTCTCTCAATAATGGCATCCATTTATCTCTAATGTTTTGCCTGCTAGAATCATCTACCACAGAAAATACCAAGCAAATCACATCTGCATGCCGTATCTGATCGCATAACTCTTCATTATCTTGTTCGTTTTCTACAATTTTATAAATGCTCACAATATTAAACATAACACAGAATAGAATAATAAGTAATCTTTATAAATGATAACTTACCATGGTAATCGATAATATCTGTAGGTACCAATTCAGGGGTAACTTCAGCAGGAATTGTTATTGTTTCAGCCCTCCCAGGCACTTCATCTAAAAATTCTTCATTGACCAAGGACAATATGATCGAAGTCTTACCAACGTCCCTGTCGCCGACTAATAAAATACGCACCGATCGTCCGGCTTGTTTTGGTCCCATTTCTGAAGACATATTTCACTGAACATCGACCGTTGAAGTATTAAACAGTGTATTTACATACTTGCACAGTTTAATGATGAAATAATTCAATCGCTAATAAGTGGTATTAGCAAAATATTAAAAGTAATTGTTAGTAAGCAACTCACTCGAATATCTAGAATATTTTTTTTTCTCTGGCGATAGTGGTGTTTTTTTAACAATCAAATTTAAGAAACAATAATTAAGAACCAAAAAACAAATTCTGAACCTTTATTGCTACATAATTTATCTATCCTACAAGTCGTTTCGGTAATTTGGCGATGGAAATCGAAAAGATGAAAACGTAAAGTTAAAAGTAATGAATTAAGTAATATTTACTATTTAGTAATTCAGTATAACGTACTGATAACTAAACACTGATTAAACTCTTGTGAAAAACAGTATGACCGTTATAATCCATTCTATTCTATGGTATGGCCAATAAAAATGCGACAGATTCATATTGACGGATTATTAGGATAATATTATTTACCTATGTTAAAAGGATCATGATTCATGACCATAGATAAAAGATTGTTCATGACTATTTATTTAGTATTTTAGTCATGTTATGGATGTTACACAGGGGACAGAACATAGGTAGATATTTGGGTATATTATCTTTAATTAAGGTCTTTAATCGTTTTTTTCTAAAAACTGAACCATAGACTGAAATAAAAAAACGCATATTTGTGCAAGAGCCAAGCTCGCGTATATGAAATGTGATGTGAAACTTAGTTTTTAGTGAAATTTAGACTTTTTTGAAGATAAACAGTTCAATATTAGTTCTAATCATACTATAGTGTATACACTGAAATCGTTTCGATGTTTATAACATCAATTATTATAAAAATTAAAAATTATACTGTTTCTAAAGTCATATCTATGCCATCGCCAAAGTGTTTTTGTTTTTTTCCGTTTTTGGAGCAAAGTAACAACAAACAATGGTTCACGACTATAATATAATTA